CACACACACACACACACACACACACACACACACACACACACATATATATATATATATATATACATAGCGAGAGAGCGAGAGAGAGAAAAACTAGAAAATTGTCTAGAAATATAAGGTCGTCACGTGGCGCAGCACACGAGTCCTGTATGTGTCTACGTCCCAGGTCTAGCAGACAGTGTATCTGTGATTCCGAAGAAGACTATAGCAACACTCTAGTTAGTGTTACAGTTTAGAAACTCAAGACCTTCCCCGGCCATTTTACATTCGCGTAAGTACGTTTCGATAACGGTTTCTGACGCCGCAATACAAAATGACAGAAGTCTAACATACTTCCCGGCTCGTCCGCAGGTTTATCGTGTCGTGCTGCCAACGTACGTGTACAACGGAGGAGATGGGTATTCGATGTTCAAAGATGAAGCGCTAAGTTCTATAGACATAGGTGCGTCAGTATAGTGTGTTTCCCCCTACTATATCAAAGCAAACTGCAATTAACCGATGTCTCGATGGTTGCAGCAACGCCTTTTTGCTGTTGAAGTGCCGCGATTACAGCAGACTGTCAAATCGCTTCGAATAATTGAGTAAAAATGGCCAATTTCTGAGAGCATTGACTGAGAGCGAAACATCGTGTACCAGTTTATAACGTATCATATATATATATATATATATATATAATTATATATAGTTTCATTTCCCCTAAATCACACCTGACAGTCGGCCATCTATCCCGGTATAACTAGCGTTCGATGCCGTAGCCCTACTACTCGCACTAGAGTGTACTACTCACACTTCTTATGCATTTACAGGCGTTATAGACATAGATATTATAATGAATTATATGACCAAACATCAGCCCATCAGCAATGGGCTGGACGGCAGGCTGACTTTCTCGACGGATGATCCTTGCGCCAATTCCTCTGCGCCGCCGCTGACAACATCACTGTTGCTCGCGATCTGTGCATGCTACTGTGCGTTAGCCTCCGCATTGTAGCACACGCATGTCGATGGCAGCGAGACGAAATTACAACGTTCAGTGCGAGAACAGTGAGCGTGCGATATGAGATAAAAGTTCGAGCGTCTAGATTTGCATGTATATTGCCGGCTAATATATATTCATGATACTCTATTTCATCCCTTTACAAACAATGAATAACATTTTTTTACACATGAGGTAGTAAATTCGTAACATTGTGTCATAAATAATTAGGTTATTATTTTAGGTAATTTAGGTTATTACACGAATAACCGCGTTAAATATATCGCATGAACGTACATATTTTTCATCGATTAATGTAATAACATAATCCCATTAACCAATTTACTGAAACTCATTAGATTAAAAATGCTATCAATAGGTGGCAGCACGTCATTGTGTAGTCTGCCATTCATTATGTCACTCGTAAACGTGGTGATAATTATATAAAATCAAAATAGAAATCTACGTCTAATCTAAATCGAAATCTAGATTATCTATCTGCGTTTATGATGTCAGCAAGGACAATCAACAATTGTGTATACGTACCATTAACAGCTATATATATATATATTTAACCTATACTCTTTATGTATTTTCTATATCTATTTCTGTCTCTTCACAATAATAATCAGCAGTGACTTCCCTTCTAAAAATAAAAAAAATTGTCCCAAATTTGGAAGGACCGGATCTGTTAATTTTGTAGTTGAAATACCGCGTCCCCCTTTCCGTGAAATCTTTTCGTACTTTCTTTACAGATATTTTAACATTTTAGTCTCACTTTATATTTGGATATGGAACAACGAATAAGCAAAAATCTCTGTATCGTTCATTGTCATCACTAATCACAAAGCGTTTAAAAATAAAACACCGATTTACCAGTAAACGCATCCATTTTTGTTAACCTTTCCTTTTACTGTATACTTTATATCTATACTAAGATACTCTATTAAGAATAGATAAAACCATTCGCCGAATTCTAGTGACGATATATATATATATCAAGAGCTAATAATACTTAGTGTGTACAACGGAAAAACGGGGAAATAGTGCTATTTTACGACATGATTATTCTACTTTGCCTGCGAGTCTAGAATAATTTTATGGTATTGCACTAAGCAGAATTATTTGCTCTCTAAAACAAGACCAACCGGTTGTCAATACGATACTCCTAGACTGAGATATTGGCTCCTAAACCTCCCATCCCACATGCCTCACGCCGCCTCGCATCCAGATTATTCAGCAACCTAAACGCCGCTAAGCCTTGCTTCGTGAAAGTTCGGTTATTTCCGTGATTACTTTATGAATGAACGGCACTCGGTAGCCATTGGTAGCCTTCGGAGGAACCGCTTCAGACTGGTTTTATAAACAAACAAACAGCGAGATATTTATATATATATATAGAGCTTCGAGTAAACAATACATTATTCATTACGACTCAAACTGAATATCGTTCTAGCTGAACAGCGGGTAATGCTAGAGGAATTCATGCCTGACGGTCGCCACGCAATCTCACTGGCTCGGTCGCTAGCACATTTACGGATAAACCCTCCTTTGGCAGCCGGCATCAGCGAACGCCCGTACATGTATCAGTTATTAAAAACACGCCTATAAATTGTTACCAATTTGCCGAATGCCAATGGTAGATAGGATATGGTAGACCACGCGTATATATACACCCGTACAACCAATTTACTCACGAACACGCGCTATTATTATGTAAAACCATCACCTATATAGCAGACAGAATATTGTTCAGTAACTAAATGTAATATTTATTAGCGTGAAGGCGGTTTCGACATCATCCGCGAAGTGATGAACAGATCGAATTTTCAGCAAGCTTGCTCAGCCCCTCTTCCGCTTCCCCTTCTCTCTCGCTCTTTACTATTCTCTCTATGGCTCTCTTCTTGTGTCTCTATCTCACCCTCTCTTTCACTCTTTTTTCTCTCTCTCTATGGCACTTTTCCTGTAACTCTCTCTCTCTCTCTCTCACTCGCTCTTCCTCTCACCCTCTCTATGGCTCTCTTTCTGTATTTTTATCTCTCTCACTGTCTCTTTCTTTATCTGCTATCTCTTCCTCCCTCACGCACCCCTCTCTCTCTTTATGTTTACGGAAAGGACTCGCCATAAAAATCTCTGTCGCGGACCATTAATAAACAGCGTCATTTCAGTGTAGCCCTGGTATTCCGTCGTTACTTTAACTCATCGGTCAGTGATCGTAGACAATGATGGTCGAAGAGGTTGTGTATATTATACATGATATAGACGTCTTTATTTGAATACATATGTTGCAGCGTACATGTGCGGGTCAGCTAGCCAGTGCCACACCCGACTCTTTTCGAATCTTCTTATCTCTCCCTTTTATAGGCATCTTATTATGCCATCCGTCCCAGATCAATATAACCAATGAGCATCCCGCGTGCCGTATTGATTCTGTATAATTCTGTTGCCCGGATGTAAGGTGTTCGGACATGTGACGTTCATGTGACGATAAGTCATCTCTGTCATGGCGTAGTAACCACGTCGCCACATCAGCGTTGAGGCTTGCATCCGGCGCGCCTTCATGCGAGCGCTCGCCATTCCGCATCCGCCAGCGTGTCAATCCACGTGAACGTCCTCGCAATTAAATTGGCTCGAAAAACGCCGACTAATAGGCTAATAGCCTAATTAGCAACGGACGCACCGATGATGCCTCCCCGGGGGATGTGCGCAGTCCTCCCGATAGATGGCGCTGATAGCGGCGTGGCGTAGCGACGCGTCCGTCTGCGCGCTGCCGCATCGCTGAAGCTGCGCAAGAAGCCAGAGATGCGGCGCATGGCTAGTTAAGTGCGTGCCGCTGCCGGACCACGAGTCAGTAGCGGCGTGGTGAGCGACAGCGGTGCGTCAGTCCTACCTACCTACCTAGCTAGCTACCTTCCTACCTAGCTATCTAGCTATCTAGCTACTTACTCAGCTACGTAGTTACATACATAGCTACTTAGCTAGCCACAACACGAACAGCAGTCGACTGGGGAAGATCACTGAAGGCGAATCGGTGAGTGAATGTTTTGCTGTTTTTTTTGTTTTGTTTTTTATAATAGGGTGTAATCACATAGAATGTCTTGTTACTTATTGCGGTGTGCAGTTCAGCAAGCGATATAACGCGCGAAAGTAGACGAATCGGAAAGAGAAGGAGAGGGGTAGCAGAGAAGCGAAAAGAAGAGAAGAGAAGAGGAGAGGAAAGGAGAGAGAAGAGGAGAGGAGAGGAGAGGAGAGGAGAGGAGAGGAGAAGAGCGGGGAGAAGAGGAGAAGAGGGGAGAGGGGATGAGAGAAAAGAGAGAGAGAGAGAGAGTCTGTATATATATATAATAAATATATATATATATATATATATATATATATATGTGTGTGTGTGTGTGTGTGTGT